CCCCCCCCCCCCCCCCAACCCCTCCCAGCGGCATCTTGTTAGGTTACCCCATACTGTAGCTCTACTTCCAAGGGAAGTATAAGAAAAGTACTGTGAGAAGAAAATATCTTGCTCAAGGACACAGCACAATGACTGTAGCCAGGGTTCAATCTTGGAATGTCTGACCTAAAATCCAGCAGCCCGATCACTCAGCCACCACACCTTCTAATGAACAACATTGTTTAATTTCTCAGTCAACTGAGTGAGACTAAGATTGTTTTGTTTTTAAATTTCTTTAATTTTAATTTATTTTCATTACTTTGCTATGATTTCATAAAGGGGTATTCAGTTAATTCTTCCACTGATGACCAAAATATTTGGATTTTTCTCGTTTTATTCTTAATTGTTTTAAGCTTAAATAGTTATGTCATAACGTGCCTAACATCATGCCCATCTGAGAACCACGAGTTCCAAGTTGTTACGTAATTGGCAACTTTAAAATGTGATGAAAAACATCGAATAAGGAAAGAATTTAGCTGGAAATGAAAAAAAAAAATCTTTTGCAAGGACAATAAAAGCTACATTCAACACTGAGAAGACTGAGAAAGCTCCAACAACTGACAAATCTTTAGCATACAAATTTGGAATATCAAATCTTTGGGTGAGTGTAATAATCACTGAAGATAAGGAATACATCACCAAGAAGTTATCAATAAAATATTTCAGTTCCTACCTCTCCAGTAGCGACACATTTTATGATATTTTGAGCGACCTTGCTCAAATCCATGGCGAACTAAATGCTCGCACACGAAAAATGGTTCCAAGGTTCAAAACAGGCCTTGCTCAAACCTGTCAATTAGTCACGTGACACGAAAAATACAGTAGGTTGCGTGACAAGTCTATGGAACGCGGCAGAAATCGACAAGACTCACGGACCTGCATACATAAGCTTTCTTTACTCACAACTTCTTTGAAAAAGAGAGAAAAAGAAAACAGAATGACAATGATCATAATGTTCGACGCAAGAATTCGAACAGGCCCCTCTGCGTGGACCTGCGGATTCCCGTTGGCCGTGTGATCGCGGCAAAATATGCGCCAATTAAGCCGTAGAAAAACATACCTCGCTTTTTCCGTTTATTTAAGTATTTTATCGACGGGTACACGGCTACGATTCTTACATAAGGAAAAGAACGCAACATTTGTGTGTGTATGTGTGTGTAGCGGGGAGGGGTGGTGGTGGAATGGGATGGAGGCTGCGGACGTCTACAGCTCCTTGACGACTCCGCAAGTGTCATTCACTAGATTACATATTTGCATCTAAAAGCTGCCGAAGCTTCCGCTTTCCCCGAGATTTGCATAATGGTGTACTCCGCTCTAAACGAAAAATAATCCGCAGAAAGCCGGATTTTAGACTTTACCTGCCTTCATTAAGGCAATCCAAACAGGCTCTCTGGCATGTTAGAGTGATTGTAGTTGTGTTCAAGTCGCACCAAAAATTTGTTTATGTGCATTTTTGGCTTCTGCCGGCCCGACGGCCATTTTAAAAGGTGATCATTTAAAATCGTGAAACTCTTCTGTCTTCTTCGATCGTTAGGACAGGTGCCATTTTCAGCGAATTATCTCGATAGTTGCAAGTAGCAAGACGAAAAAAATGTCGTCAACAAGAGACTATACTCGCGCTGAAACCAGTGATAAAACAACGAATGTTCCTCTGCTCAGCGAAGATTCTTGGGACGATGGTCAACTAAGCGATCCAGTATTGGTGATCACAGATACTGTGGAGGATGGTGAGCCCGATGTTCGTTTCTCTGTCTCTTCTGCGAAAGGTGAAACAAGCCTAGGTTGCCCTTGTAAACTGCAGCTCACAAAGACCACCGTTCTTGTAGCAATCATAGCCGTTTTGATCATTATTTGTATCGTGTTGTCAGCGTTGCTCACACGGAGTGGTAAATCGTTGTTTGGAGCTAAGCAGGAAGCAGTGTGTGTCACTGAGGGCTGTATTGACGCCGCTCATCATATGTTTCACTCCATGAACCGATCGGTCAATCCATGCGACAATTTTTACGAGTTTGCGTGCGGTGGATGGGCTCAGAATAACCCCATTCCTGAAAGCAAGGCGTTCTGGGGAATATACTCAGTTCTGCAGGAAAATAACGAGAGAACTGTGCGGCAATTATTGACTGGCGCAGCCACTAACTCTGAAGCCATAAAGAAATCGAAGACTTTCTACGACGCATGCATGAATTTGACAGCAATCAACAAGAAGGGAGCAAAACCGCTTCTGGACATTATGAAGAAACTTGGAGGGTGGAATGTCACCCAGGATTGGAACTCGTTCAATTTCGATTTCAACAAAACGCTTCAAGGAGTACACAGGTATTCGGTTCCTGTGTTCTTTAACACAGATGTCGACGCAGATGATAAAAATTCTGCCAAAAATATCCTTAAGGTAATAATAATAACAAATGAAATATACAATTCTAGTCGATGCCCGCGGTTTTTCTTTGTTTGCACGAGCTTACTCGAAAGAAAAACGCAACACAACCGCAACCTTAAAACGCGAGCAATCCCCGACTTACCCAATTGTTCTGAATTGTTATTTGGTTGTAGGTTGATCAGGCTGGACTTACACTCTCGAGGACTTATTACCTCAAGAATATGTCTGACCCGGTGAGTTGCTTTATAAAAATACACTGTTTAAAATTGAAATTACAAGAAAGTTAAAAAAGCTCTATATTTCAGACAGAACTATTATACTGCAACTGGTATTTTTGAGGTGCGGGGTTGAGTAATTACCCAAAGGATACATTACGCAAAAAAACAGAGAAAAAGTGATATGTTAAGCTTGCCACAGAAAATCTTGTATCAAACAAGCTAAAAAATATCAAACACAACCTGAACTTGGAAGAAAACAAAACAAAATTTCTGATGCAGAACCCTTTCCTGTCCCCAACATGAAACTAGTATGGAGCTTACTTGAATGGCTTGTGTTGACAGAAACTGGTGGCTTACTTGAAGTATATGACGACTGTTGGTGTGTTGCTGGGAGGCAAGGAAAATGAAACAAGACATCAGATGCGAGAAGTCCTGGAACTGGAAATGAAACTGGCACAGGTTTGTCTTCCTTTTGATCAACAGTAACCAAACTCCAGCCTGCATTGTAGACGGAAATTTAACCACGTATATATATTGGCGGTATACAGTGTCTGGCTACCCAGGCACCCCAAACTCCTGACCATGGATGGACATCCAAAAGCCAAATAATGCTAATCCAAAGAAAAATAATCCTGTTTTTAATCCTCTAGTGTTAAATCCTCTCACTGTTTTCCACACTTTGAGTTAAGTGTAGGTTAAGTCTGAAGGACTGCAGAAAAATGAATTTGTTACAGTTCAACGCCTATTTAACAGCCACCCTCAGGGAATTGGATAGTGGCCGCTTAAAGGGGGCTGGCCGCTTAATAGAGGGAAAAACTTTAGATAAGCCCTCATTGGGGCCTTGATTACTGGCCTCCTAATAAGGGTGGCCATTCAAAAGGTGGCCGCTTAATATGGGTTCAGCTGTATTTATATCTGACCCTAATCATGAATTCGATTTGACGGTGGTCCTGGGTCCGGGAGGGGGTCTCCCATTTAAAAGGGATGTGGGTGCTCCTCGGAAATGTTTTAAACAACCCCTAAGAGGTACACATTTTCTCCTGGAAATTTTTTCGGCACGATACCCTTGAAGGTACTGCATAAGCTCCCGCTGTGGACCTTTTGAGGCTGAACACCCTGAGAGGTACCAAAACCGTATTTTTAACCCCTAAAAGGTACGACAAGCACCCCCGTCTTTCATGTGGGAGTCCTCTGTCCTTTCATCTGGGACCTGAAACTGAACCTGGTTTAACCAAAGTCATTCCCAGGTTCTTCACACAATAAATGGATCATGTTAGAACTTTTTAAATATTGAATCGTGTGGTGTTTCTTTATCAGATTTTTGTGCCTCATGAGAACAGGAGCCAAATCGATGAGATATACAACAAAACAAACATCATGAAACTTCAAAAGCTTTGTAAAGAGGTAAGGGTATTCCTAGCCAGACCATTTTTGAAAAGAAGTCTCTCTTCATTCATTCTCTCTTCATAATCGTGTTTTAAATAAAGGATTTTACTTTACTTTACTTATTTTGCCAAACCGATCTGCGATTTGACTCCAAAATTTAGGTCTCTGATTAGTTTTTTCTTTTTTTGCGCTTAAAATTTGTAACCAAGCAACCATCAATCAGAAACACTTCATGGTTCTACGTCATCAGCGTCACTCTTCCAAAGGGACACAATCGAGCAATGGAAGTAGGCTCCCTTGCTTGATGTCCCTTCCCTTAAAGCAAGAAAGAAACACATGGAGCTTGGATTTCAATTTGCAGGGGCCGAAGTCTGACTTAAATGTCTTTTCCATTGCTTTCAGATAAACTGGCTTGATTTTTTCAAGAGCCAGTTTAAAGACATGCCAAAAACGCAAATTGGAGAGAAAGAAGAGGTGGTGGTGTATGCTACACGTTATCTTGCTGCCTTGTCGCCAGTCATAGCCAAAGCTTCACAAGGGTAAGGAGTTTCGTACATGATGTTAAAAGAGATGGGATTATATTTTTAATGGAACTTTGAGTCTTAAATAATTGCAAACTTTATGCAGATCGAGTCACCCCAGTGGAGATGTCCAAAGTTTTCAGAAGAACTTTTATATAACTTTTTTATGGCGGGCTTTGGACGTGGTGGAAATTAGCTAAATGATATGTCGAAATATCATTACGTGGAATAATTTGAGCTCAACGGTTTATTTGATATTTCGGAGACCGCTAGAAGCCTGAGAAAGGTACCCCATTTTGGGCGGAGCCTCTCCGGATAGGCCAATAAAGAGAGTAACCCCTCGCCCCCGACGCTATGCCCACAAATTAATATTGTTACATTTCTTCCAGGGTGTTAAATAATTACATGATGTGGCGAGTTGTGGCGAGCCTGGCCCCGTCATTATCGGAAGAATTCCGTAACGCGCACGAGGATCTTGTCAAAGTGCTCACCGGCTCCAAGCGATCAGAAGACTTGTGGAAGCGCTGTATGGGAGAGACTGACGACGCCATAGGAATGGCACTGGGATCTCTATTTATTGAGAAGGCCTTTGAAGGAAGCAGTAAACAACAGGTACTTAGATAGGCACTAGATAGGGGATGGTCCAGTGGTGAGAGCGATCGCCTCCCACCAGTGTGGCCTGGGTTCTATTCCGGCCCATGCGCCTTGCTGCGAGGGGATTTTTCCGGGTTCTCCGGTTTTCCTCCCTCCACAAAAACCAACATTTCCAAATTCCAATTCGACCAGGACAGAGGACCTGCATGAAAACCAGCTAAGGCTGATGTGGCTTCCTCTCTAAATATATTGCAATTAGATGGTCTACGTGTCACTTGGCCGTTTCTGCGAGCGACGATAGGTAACCCGAGGTGATACAAATTCAGTAGCGGTGGCGAGGGAACTTTTGTAGCCTTGGGGAAAGCTGTGCCTTTCAATAACATACGGACTCTAAAATTCAAAGCTCAACCGACAAATGCGTTTTTCGCTGCCGTCAATGAAATGTTGGGCGGCTCCTCCCTGCTTCCGACTACTGCCGAACGCGCGGTAATCAAATCGTTGAGCACAGTCCAGACAACGAAACAGTGCTCGGCAGTAGTCGGAAGCTGGGAGGAGCCGCCGAACATTTGATTGACGGTAGCGAAAAACGCATTTGTCGGTTGAGCTTTGAATTTTAGAGTCCGAATGTTATTGAAAGGCGCAGTAACGACTGTCACTTTACCTTCATGGACTAAAAGTTGTCGTGGCTCGTTACTGAGTGTTTTTTCTTATTCACCGACGCAGCGAAAAGTTTCTTTAGAACGTTCTGCTTGGTTTGTCGTACAGGAGATGTGCGTTACTTCTGCAGTCTAAATTCAAAGTCATTTTTGGTTAATTTGAAGATTCCTAAACTGACGAGACTTTTGACTTTTTTTGACTGTTGTACGTAGCTGAAAAGATGCCTTTGAAGTAGGTCTCTTGTTGTACCATAATACAAGGTGCCCCGTCCCTCCAGTTATTGTAAAGTTAGCAATGGTTAATATAAATAAGGGGTATCTTAAGCCCGGGATAGTCTAGTCTGTGATGAGGTAGAGATTTTTGGCGCTAGTCTAGAATAGGGTTGCAAAATCAAGCTGATCATGGTCTAGTATAGGGTAAGAGTTTCAGTATCCCAACGGCACACCCCTACCCAAAGATTTACAGAGTACCCCCGGGATCTGAAGAGGGTTTCCAATAACAGGATATCGTTATTTTCAGTTATTGTGCTTCTTACAGTGTTGTTTATGGGAAGTAGTGAGAGTAACGGGATACACTTGAAAACTGAAAAAATGTATTTACAATGTTACAAAATGTTTCTAGGCAACCGAGATGATTGACGCAATACGTACATCGTTCAAGAAAGGTTTACCAGATCTTGACTGGATGGATGACAAGACCCGCCGAGCAGCTGAAGACAAGGTACCATGCACTTTTTGAATTCTTCGGCAACGGGACCACGCGAGAACAAGTTTGGTTATAATGTAACCTCTCGAACGAGATTCGCGTGCTTTCAGTAAAGGACCTACGTTTAGCCGAAATTTTTCGAGTTCGTCGTTTGTAATCCGTGTCAATCTTCTCCATCGTTAACGATCCGTATTCCTTTATGGTTTATTTTTATCTCTTTGGTGATTTTCTATGTCAGTACGCTACTATTTTCAGGTTTCCTTCAGTTTAAAGGTAATTTTGTAAGTGGTCAAAATAACGTGACTGAGCTCCTTTAAGATTCATCTTCATTTACTGATTTGTCCTTGTAATATAAAGTCAGCCAGGCAGGATATAAAAAGCGATACCAGTCCGTAATCCTTACAGAAAGCGACGACTGCCAACTAAAAGGATTTTACTATTTTTTTGTCCTTAATTAAGGCGGATGCCGTTGTGGATATGATTGGGTTTCCAGACTACATAAAAGATCCACAAAAATTAAAGGAAAAATACGACGGGGTAAGTACAACTTCTGCGTGCAATACCGGCGGCACGTTTCAAACACCGTACGCAATATTTGAAATATTGACATATTCCTGACGATTACGATGCTGCCCGGGGCCGGATATGAAGTCGAACTGAGAAACAAGAACTATTTAAACGTTGTAAGGAAAACTCGCAAACAAAAAGCACTTTGATAGATATTTTCCCTGATTGCAATGGTGATGAAACAGGACCCTACAACACTTTTAGAGGCAAATCGTTCAAGTAAAAAAATCAACCATTATTGTAAAAAAGGCAATCTTTCCCGCGCCATGATGTCGTGACATCCGTTTACAGTACTTTCGAGTTCTTGTGCTAGCTATTTTTACGAGCGTTTCAAAGAAAATTGGCCAAAAAACAGCAGTTGTTCCCTCGACTGATGTAGAACAAGTTGTGCATCTCATAATTCTTTTTTTTTGACTAGACGTAAGATTGTGATTTTGCGGGTTTTTCGTTCTTCTTTCAGCTAAATTTCAAGCCGATGGAGTTCTTCCAGAACAAAAGGAATTCTGATGACTTTCAACAAATGAAAACTCTGAAGCGTCTTCGAGAGCCAGTGGACAAATATAAGTAAGGCTATGAATAATTCAAATCAGGCTCCGTGGGTGCTTTCCATTATGCCAAAAATCCCGAAAAATGGAAAGGTCCGTTTCGGTTCGGTCTGACCGGAATATTTTGATCAGTCTGACCCGACGGACTGAAATTTGGCGTTCCATTTTGACAAGTCGGTTGACTCGGTTCGTTGCCTACTTCTCTTCAGTAGATTTTCACTAATCTGCACGAATGCGGGGGAATGCATTGGGGTCTCTGCCTGGCATAATAGCAAGCACCCTGTGAAACCTAAGTCAGCTTGGCTGAGGGCATTTTATAAACTGCGTGAGCGGCTATTGGCGCGTTGATTTGGCTGAGAAGTTGGAAAACCAATTGAAAGATGTCAAAGATCAATAAAAAATTTTCATCGCGCGTGCGTGAATTCTTATCTATCCACTCTGTTTCCTCGCAGGTGGTACATGACGCCTTCGACTGTGAATGCTTATTACAGTCCATCACGGAACCAGATCGGTACGTTTAGTCCACGAGTCGATTCTTAACCAATTTCACGGTATCTTGAATATGCACGAGCAAAACGTCATAATTTAAAACCCTTTGAGAGGGTTTTTGTGTGGTTATTTATAAACATTTCTTTTTTTCTAGTAGTTTTACCCGCAGGGATTTTGCAAGCTCCGTATTATAACAAGAAGTTTCCAAAGTAAGTTCATTTGGAAATGCAGGCATTCTTTGATGTTAACTTGTCTATTTATCTTCATTCACATTCATTTTTCCTTGCTTTTATGCCGGCAGAGTCATCAACTTTGGAGGGATTGGCTCTGTTGTGGGACACGAGCTTTCTCATGGCTTTGATAATTCTGGTAAATATTACAAGTTTAAGAAATAAAAATTTCGATTATTTATTACGGTTGAAGCATTAAAACGACACTGAAGACCTGTGTATGCGCAATTTATACAGCCCTGTAGTGCGAAAGCCGTACTGGCGAGGAATTCTGTATGAACTTTTAGTACCGGAGACAGTCTACACGGATCAGTTTTTTCTGTTGTGAGGAACATTTTCAAGGGTTTCTTTTATCAGCTAATTTAATGTTTGTTTACTAGGTCGCATGTATGATAAACACGGGAATTATGGAGTAATGTGGTGGACCAACAGATCTGTGGAGCAGTACAAGTCGAGAAGTGATTGTATGGTTAAACAGTATTCAAAGTTCTCCTACTTTAATAAACATGTAAGTAAAATAGAGCTTTGTTGCAACCCTACAGAGTACAAATTACACGAGGAAATGACACGTCTGAACGAACCTGATTAAATGATCCATCCATCCATCCATTTGTGTACTGATTGACTGACTGACTGACGGACGGACAGACATTTTGAGCGAAGAATTGACTGACTAATTGTTTGTTTGCTTGATCGATCGATCAATAAATTGATTGATTGATTGATTGATTGATCGATTGATTGATTGATTGATTGATTTACTGATTTATTGCTTGACTGATCGATTGATCTATGTAAGTTAATAATTGCTTATATAGCTTGGCGCTTGATGCTCTTGAGACAATGAGTAGATAATTTAAAAATTATGACGTAAAACTGTCTTTCTTCCATTTCCTACTTTTTGGCCAGGTGAAGGGAAAAGTTACCCTGGGTGAAAACATAGCTGATAATGGAGGCTTGAAAGCTGCTTACAATGTAGGTATTCTCGTTAACTTATAATTTAGAACAGGCATAAACCATGGAGATTATCTCGCAGATCGTACTTCAGGAAACACTAGTCACTTTTTATATGCAGTGACTATGGATATACTAGGAAGTTTCAATTGTGCGAATGGAACCAGAATTGACGGTCTGGAAAGAAAGTAACCAATCAATTCAATTTTTATGTGTTTACTTTTGTATATTGATCCGTATTTTTTTCTCACGTTAGGCCTACAAAGAATGGGAAAGTAAAAATGGCGCTGAACCACCTCTGCCACTGCTGAATATGACACCTGACCAAACATTCTTCTTAGCCTTTGCACAGGTATATTTTTGCCTCATTTTTTCCAATCTGAACAACATAACAGTCCAGCGTACGAAAAAAATACTTATTGATAAAGATTGCTTCCAGACCAGCTGTATTTTTACCCCTCTTGCAAGATATTTTATTGTAGATTGCTCCTCAGTATTCTAGCAGGTTGTCCTAATGTTGACCGTTACCTAGGTTACTCCTGTGTGGTGAATGAGCTGTCTCGTGCAACACATTCACCCCGGGTCGGCCAGCGCTCAAACCCAGACCGCTCGATCAGGAGTCCGACGCGGTAATCATTATAGGGAAACCAACCTCACACAGCTGCGGGAATCACTTGTGTTTCTTTGAAGCTGTAATGTCATCTTGAAGTGAATCGTGTTTGACGCTCAGTCGTTAGAAGAACTGAGACTCGTTATAAGCGTCTAACCATACGACGAATAACTAAATTGTGTTTTTTTGCTGGTTGGTTGAAGTGTTTTGCTTCTGCCTTGATTTTTCCTTTTCTTTTCCTTTGCGATGCGGTGGGAGAGGGATACTGGCGTACAGCCCAGCCATTCAGTCAACCTTAATACTGATTTCAGTCTTCACCGCGAAACTTTCACGTTCCCCCAGACTCTTCCTCGACTAAAGTAAACAATTAACAGCAAACTGACAGAGATGCTCATATGCTTCGCATTATAGCTACGATTATCACGTGATGAGAAGTGTAGAACGACGTCTTTAATAAGGATGTTTACTTTGTTAAACGTATCAAGTCGCATAGAGGGTTGACATTTCATGTTAACTTCTTGTTCTGCAGAACTGGTGTGCAGACATAAGAGAGGAGGTCGCGAAAGTAAGGCTTGATGATGACCCGCACTCACCAAACAAATTTAGGTAACGTGCCGATTAAATAATTGCCCAATAAACGTGTTGTATTGACAGTTAGGCCCTGTCAACACTACGCCGGAGGAATTTGAAAACGGAGGTTTTACTCTGAAAATGCATCAAATGTTTTCCGTCCCCACTACGCTGGAGAAATTTGAAAACGCAACAATCACCGGTCATTTTGCATTTGTGTTTGAGTAAAACTCAGGTAGGGTATCGTAACGTCATCGTATTCGAAAAACTTCGTTTTCAAAATGTTTTCCGTCCACACTAAAACACAAGGCCGACGTTTTCAAATTTCTCCGGTTTGAAGAACGTTTTCGAAAAGCTCCGTTTTCGTGACCGGAGAAATAAAGCTGCGTTTTCAAATTCCGCTGGCCTAGTGTGGACGGGACCTTGTATAGGGAGGTTTCTTGTTAGAATAGAACCCCTTATTTTGATAGCAGTTTTTGGGGGTTAAAGGCTCTTGTTCCCAAAATAACATTTCGTCTTCAAGGGGGAGTGTTTACTCAAGGAGGCGCTTATAATTCCAGTTTTCATAGTTTCCAGTATCATTTAACTATTTTAGATTAATTCTGAAATTTCAAATGGTTGCATTCACTGTCGTGTTTAATGTTTTTCTTGCAGAGTTCTGGGTTCTCTCGCTAACTTACAAGCATTTGCTGAAGCATTCAAGTGTCCGCCTGGCAGTAAGATGAACCCTCCGGACAAATGTCACATTTGGTAGAAGCTAGACTTATGAAGAGTTTGACATCATCGAGGACGCCCGGATCAAAAATTACTTTGTTTAAAACTGCTTATAGTACGATAGTGCTTAGACTAGTCACTGTAGCTCGATTAAGTCGAGGCTCACTTACGGTTGTTTTGAAAACAAAATAAAAATTAAAAGTAGTCACTCTGGCTGATCAAACTAACCCGCGAAGGCTTTGAATCGACCACAGATGGTGGTAAAGGGTATTTTCGTGACTCATGTTCGGCCCTTTTTTTTTTCCCGTGAAATGTGAAATGGCTAATTTTTTCCTCGTGAATCGTGATTTTCTTAGTCGCCGTGAACCGTGATTTTCCAAAACGTTCTCTTTTATTTTCCGTGAAGCGTGAAATGCCAATGTTGTGTTTTTCGTGAATTGTGAAAGGGCTGCTTTATTTTCCGTGAAACGTGATC